AGACGCGTTTTGGCGGAGATCACTTCTCCACCCTTGAGAAACTGGAAACAAAGTCAAGGTCTGGCAAAGCTCCTGCGAGAACCTAGACAAAAACGTGTCCGTGGTAGCATTGTAGGCTTTGGCTCCATCCTCTCTCATTCAAACAGAGCCTTCATTCACACAGCTGAGAATAAAACAAGCCCGATGTTGGCTAGAGCAGCATGTCTGAATATCTGTATGCTTGCAGCCTCCTTCACGGTAATAATCTTCTGATGTCCTTATTGAAAACAAAATGAATAAATAGCTTTAGAGCAGTCTGCTCCTTTGCAATGATCTTGGCATTGCTTTTTACCGAATTAACAATGAGCCTCTGATAATTTATGTGCCTAGAAAAGGCACACAAATAAGACACCTTCCCAGATAAATATAATAGACATGACATTTAATATCCTGCCTTTGTCATTTTCAAGTTATTTTTGGTGCGTGTACAATAGAAGGTGTTCATTCACAGAAAAATGAGTGTGCTTGTAATAGAAAATCAATTGCTATTAAGGCATCTCCTACCAGTCATTAGCATGGGAAGCTTCATTTTAAAATTAACAAAGCTGTTCCCAAGGGGAAGAATCTTAAGCAAATAACTGTGCTTATTTTTTGAAACAGACGGTAGCTTTTTGTGTGACAAGGTGACTGTTGATGTTAGCCATAATGACTGCCCTCTTAGACTGAAAAAAAAAAATACCTTCATGACATTTTATGAAGTTTGCCAAGAGATGTGCCGATCACGATGAATTTATATTGCCCTACCCTGGATTAGAAGGAGGAAAGGAGAGAGGGAGGAGAAGAAACTCTACACCTACACACAGAGGACAGTTGATACCTCTATAGTCGTAGCTTGTCATTTAAATCCCCATGGTATGTCCGTGTTATTCTGGACAGAACATTGCCTCAATCTGTAATGTTTGTTGGCTTGTGTTTGCTGCGTGCCTACTCACTCCATTTCCATGCAACATGACGGCAACATTCGCATTTGCAGTGAAGAAACCGTAGACCATCTCCAGCGTGGCTTGTCTCTGTTTAGAGAGACTCGAAGCAAACTTTCAAGAAAAACTGCCCAGTCTGCTCTGAGCGAAACCTCGAGATCACAGCACATCCAAGTTCTGTTTTGTCAGTTTCTAGAGGTGAAAATCCAGATGTCATACAGCAATTTCAATCCTTTTGTGATTACACAGGGTTTTTTGGTGTTTTGTTTTGGTTTTTTTTTTAATTTGCGGTGTGAAAAATATCAATCATTGTTTTCTTATGGGCTTGGTTGAGTAAGGAATTTAGCTGGCATAGTTTTGGAGTGGGTATTCTTTTTTATAACACCGTATGATGAATCTGAGGTTTTATGTTTTTATGCCTAGTAGGATTTGACTACAGAAGCTGAAGTTTATTTCCTAGAAAGGCTAATGTGTGAGTTTTGATGTGAATTTTCTTTCTGTTCTGAAGTGTGCTCGTCGTTTGTTTTTTTGTTTTTTTTTAAGCATTGCTAATATGAGATTCCTGTCGATGGAAAAATAAATAGCATAATTTTTGCTTGAAGGCAAGACTATATAATGGCAATTTTCCCCCTTTAATCAGAAACTTTGGGAGAACAAGAACAGCGCATTGAAGCAGAGAAAGGACAAAGAGGAGTTAGAATAACTAGCGGTGGTGAGTTGCTTTCATGACAAGGATAAATAGTAAGGTACCTGGCTAAGGCCTTAAGAAGGGCTAAAAAAATAAACCTGACGAGTTCTTGCCTGAGAGCTGTAGAAGACTCAAGTTCATGTCCTCCATTGGGATATCGTCAATGTGAACCTTGGCAAGATACTTTGGCTAATTCTGGAAAAGGCCTGTGTTCGTTTGGCTTCTTCCATACACCATCGTGCCCCTAGAAACACCGGTCTCCTGCAGCCTAATCCTGACTCTGCCAAATCACAACCATCTTTATTTTTTTTACCCGACTCACCCTAAAGCACGTGACCCAAAAGTGTTATTGGGATATCGTCAATGTGAACCTTGGCAAGATACTTTGGCTAATTCTGGAAAAGGCCTGTGTTCGTTTGGCTTCTTCCATACACCATCGTGCCCCTAGAAACACCGGTCTCCTGCAGCCTAATCCTGACTCTGCCAAATCACAACCATCTTTATTTTTTTTACCCGACTCACCCTAAAGCACATGACCCAAAAGTGTTGGGTTTTTTTGGTTGTTGGTTTTTTTTTTTAGATAGGGTTGAACAGCTCAGCACCTAACGTAACGTAGCCCACTTGAGCGGCAGAAAGTAGCTGCTCCTCTGCCAAACTTACTGGAGCTGCTTTCACAGCTATCGTGGGTGTAACCAGAGTTCATAAAGACCAGTTAGCAGGTTACAAAAATATAAACCATTTTGGAGGAGGCCCCAGGTGACATATGTCATGTGTCTTAGCTTGGACCCATCACCAGTCCTGGTTTCACTATCTAAAATAAGGTACTGGAAATTTTGTGTTCCAGTAGTTGCTAGGTCATGGTCTAGTTCTTCTCTTCCGTTTCCCATCAATAAATAGGATCATTTGCCTACCTTATGGGATCCTACAAGGATAAGCATGAGACTGTGGAGTACTCGGACATTGAGGGTGTAA